TTCCCTGACAAAATTAATTTGGGTTGCCTATCTCTCTCTACATGGTCTGGCAACTTATTTATGATGCCTTTCTTATCTTTCATTCAAGACACATACTTGATACTTGAGAGTGGCACAGTAAAACACTAGACACTGCTCTCTTACAACCTAAACAGCTGAAATGCAGTGGAAACGAAGTTCTGCATCCAGCAGTGCCAATTTCAGATTAAACAGAGTACAGCAGAAGACTCCTGATAAACATTTCTACATTCTGAGAAGCAAGTATGCTTTTTTTCTGTCCTGTCCCAAAACATGAAGCCAAACGCCTTTTTATATGATTAGTTCTCATAGTTCAAGCAAACCTGACATTTTTACTCATCATTGCAAATGCCATTCCCAGTAGTACTTGACAATTTTCCTGAATTGTGTTCAGGAACAATTACCACTAATCAGGCATTAATATGTTTGACTTAAGGTTCTCTGGTCTGTTTTATTGTACAATAGCGGGACTAAACAGGCCTTAAGAACCCTGAGTCAATCCAGTGTTGGTATTACTGGTCATGACTTGAGAAATTTGTCTCCCAGGAGAGAAGGCACTCCGAGAGAAATGGCAACTGCTCCTTCCAAATGAGGATAACCATAGAGGTTAAAACATCTGTTAGATCTTGCTCTCAGTCTTGCTCTCAAACCTGCCTCCAGTGTTTAAATTTCTTTTATCCTCAGCATTCTAAGTACATCATAAGATTACTTTAAGTGAGAGGAGGGAGACAGCAGCTCATCACTTGCACCAGTTCTCACTGAAGAACTTGTAGCAGGCTCCAATAAGTGGACAAAAGCAATCTAGAGAGACATATGGAAAAGGAGCACGACAAAAAGCTCCTGTCAGCTGCCACAGCTGCTCTGAGCCATGACACTCAAAGAGGAGCTGCAAGCCTATGCTAATTGGATAGCACGTCTGGTTCAGCTAAAGCTCACGCCCTGCCTTGAACCAGACATGAGTTCTCTCCCTCGACTGTCTTCCGTTTGACACAAGAGTGACCACCCAAGCTGTAATTTACACTCACAGGCTCAGAGAAGCTACCTGCTTGCAGCTTCAGAAGCCTTGTTTGCAGTAAAGTCCATTACTTGTTAATGCTGAACTTTAATACTGACATGCAGGACACTTACAAGAACTTCTGACATTTTACTTCTATTTACTTGCACTTTGAGGTTAATATTTGCCCTACTTACTGTATTTAAAAAACACTCAAAAATTTGAAAGGTATAGTGGTCAAGTGTCTTTCATTATCTTGTATAAAGCAATGAGGACTCCTAATACGTGTGAAATGACAAAGCAATTGTAAGAAATAAATACTTATTTCCAGCATACTCATTTATATTAGATACTATATAGCTTCTCAGTCACTGAGTTCTGACTCTCACCACCTATCAGCACTGCCCAAAACCAGAATTAACAAGTGAAATACTTGCAAGAGACTGTACACACTGTGGAAAAAAAAAAAAAAAAAAAAAAAAACCACACACACCAACACACACTAGTTTGCTACATCTCCTCATCCCTTATTACACTTTTCCTCTTTATTTTTAACCCTCAGATTAACAAATCTATTCTCAAACTAAATAGCTTTAAGTGTATACCAGTACAAGATTTCCCTGCTGTGCATTCAGAACACTAAAGAAGGCTGAGACAAAGTATCTATCTTGAACAGAAAGAACATTTAATGTGACAAAGTACTGGATATAAAAAAAAAATGTCTCACATAAAATAAAGGACATAGGATTATACATCATACGCTGACCAAAACCTTTGTAGAACTGAAGCAAGTGGTGTGCAAGCCCAAAATCATGAAAGGCAGTAATTTTGTAAAAAGGAAGAGAAAGAATAGTGCAACGGCACTAATACCAGGCAAGAGCCTGAAATAAATAAAATAGTAAAACAGCTTCTCACTAATGCTACATTGAACATACAATAGCAGCAAATGCAGCAGCAATTAAAGTGTAGTTCCTTTGTACAGTACACAAGCTGCACAGTACTCTAAATTCTACTTTAAAATTTTCTAACAGTTAATATATAATTTGTGTAATCATACTGCATTCATATATATGAGCAAATGAAAAATACCATCAAATTGTGCAACAAAGAAACAATTCTATGTGTGTATCCCTGCTTGCTAAAGCTGTCTATTGCTTCCAACACTCCCAAAGGACTGTGGCTAGAGTGACACCTGCAATGCATTATCAATGTGTAATTACCATTTAAATGGAGTAAGGAAAGCTGGTGGATGAAATGGGAAAAGGCATTCCCTTAAAGCAAATCAAACACTGAAATTTCAGGCATGATCATCTTAATCTACAGAGTCAGGTTAACAAAGTCATTGTTATTCTGCCACTCATCCATGCCTACTTAGCTGAGAATCCTCTCTGTAGTGCAGAAGAGTGTAGAATAATCTAGTGTCTCCATAATTATATGCAGCAGTTTTTATTAGATTATGTTTAATATGCTAACATATGTATTTACTAGACAGTGAAAAATGAAGACAGAAGATCCAAGGCTATACCACGACTTACTCTATTATGTCTCACTGAATTATTTTGACAAATCATTTGTCTGCATATTATCAGAATATGAACTGTATATATCAATAATATCCAGTGATTTTGGAACGTGTTTTGTCTTTCATTTTTCCTCAGTTATATACACCCTTTCGGAGAACAGGAGGCTGAGGGGAGACCTTATTGCTCTCTACAGCTGCCTGAAAGGAGGCTGCAGTGAGGTGGGTTTGGGACTCTTCTCCCAGGTTGCTAGCAACAAGACAAGAGGAAATGGGCTCAAGTGCGGCAGGGGAGGTTTAGATTGGATGCTTGGAAGAATTTCTTTACTGAAAGAGTGGTGAAGCATTGGACCACGCTGCCCAAGGAGGTGGTGGAGTCACTTTCCCTGGAGGTGTTCAGAAAACATGTAGATGTGGCACTTAGGGACATGGTTTAGTGATCACAGTAGTGTTGGGTGACGGTTGGACTTGATGATCTTAGAGGTCTTTTCCAACCTTAATGATTCTATAACTGTTCATGTAAGAATTAGATGTTTCTTTAGGACAAAAATTAATTGTGAGAATCCAGGCTCAAATCAAAGTATTGATAATATTGATTAATCTTTGCATGTGCAGTAAAGCAAACCTGTCAAAAATAAACTTTATTTAGAAGTTGGATATTGAAGTTGAAGTTTTATAGTTGAATTATGACCTTTTGCAGGTAAACTGCATTACAAAACATAACAGTATGAAGAAATTAATATGCCTGACTCCTTATAAGGAGGAATGCCTTCCATTAACATTGAACGTGTAAACTTGTTCCTGATTAAGTCACCAATGCACTAACACACTTCAAGTGGAGGCAAAATGAGGCCAGCTCTCATACAACCATGTCCATAGTACAGCTACGAGCAAGATCTGTTGATCGTGGCATGTGTATTCCAGAGGCACAGAATTACACAGTTACAGTCCTCAGGAAACTCAACTACTCCAGCAAGATCCAACAGAGCATTTCACAGAGGTCTGGAAGTTAAGCAGTGAAGAGAAAGAATTGTCTTCACTGAAACGTAGGACCACCCAGAGACAAGGGAACTAGTTTCATAAGCAGAATAGGACTGAATTCAGCCTTCTGAAACATCACTTTAACCCCCATGCAGTGCACTACCTGCCACACTGAACTCAGGAACTTGTTCATTCCCCTTCAGTTCGCTGCCTCAAGGAGATGCAAAGTTGTGTGTGTATCAGAGTACTGCATGTTATTTTGGAGATGTAGCCATTATATTAAAGTTCTCACCAGATCTATCCTCATGATTCAAACTTGCTGAGAATGACTCTAAGGTCTCTTCTAAGAAAAAGCAAACATAAAAAGTGTGTGGTGTTTTATGCTGTTGTTTGGATTTTGTTTGGTTTTTAAAATCTGGACTATTGTTGTCAAGCACTCCATCAAATCTCTCAGAACTGAATTGTGGTTGAGATATGGGGTCAGTTATCCTATGAAATATCACAGGACTGAAGTTCATGATGGATGTTTAACAAAAATTACTTCTACTTTCTACCACATTCTTCTTCCTACAGCTCAAGCTTCATGATGAATTTTCCCTCCATGCCAGGAAAGGAGTATACTTTTTGCAAATGTCCCCAGGCGAAGAATTCCCTACAGAGATTGCCTGTTTCACTTCTGCATCAGCCAAAGGGCAGGCTGCAGATTCATGAGGCATTCCCAGACTCTGCCAATTAGTTTAACAAGAGGATGAAAATTAACAGTTTTGAGTGACTGTTCAGACCCCTAGAATAATCTTCTCTGACACTAGTGCAACTTGCATAATAAAAAGTGCAGCACAATTTTAGCATATCTGTCTCTGAATACACAGTACTACTAACCCTAAGAACAAATCTAATGAAAAGTGCAAGCACTGACAAGCCTAGGTAATAACAGACTTCTACACAACACAGTAGGACCTACAGTTTTGTGATATGCTTTTCCTATTGGACCACAGCTCCACTTGAAAACAAAGAAAAAACAGTTTTGATCTCTATGTTAGGCTGCATCCTCTATCCTTTTTTAAGCTTGATTTAAAGTTTGCTATCTGCTAGCCAGTCTATCGTTCAATAACGAGTCTCCTAGCCAGTTGCAACTAGGGGGTTTTATCACATTTAAGAACAAAGAAAAAAATCCAATCAGTACTCTTACATAGGAAGAGATAGAAAGAATGACTTATTTTAATCCATACATTTAAAAGCCCACCCCACACAAATCCCCCATCCAGCACATTGCCTCTTGCCCAGTGGAAAAGTCAGTGTAGGAAGAGAACGGGAATGTAATAGGGATGAGATCAGGTGCTCATGTGACAGAAGACATGCATCAGTAGGAAACTGGGCTTAATTACTTCTGCTGCTCATAGAGCAGCTTGCTTCTGCTGTGAATTTTAATAATAACTAGGAAAAAAACATCAATTTAGATACTGGTATCAAAACAAAATTACCACATACCATACTTCTTACGTATTTCATCATGCTTCAGTTTTCTTTCATGTTTCCTGCAACAAAGCCATCAGAAAAACATTCAGACTTATTTGAGCTGTAAGCAAAATATGGTAATTATATCTGACAAAGTCTACAGCGTTTTTAAAATTAGTATGCAATTACAATTTAAAATATTAGTTACATATCTTTATATATATACTTTATGTATCTATAAGATTCCCTTTAACTTCTCACCAATCAGTGTGGCAATAAGATACATTTGCAAGCATGAAGAAAATGTTTTTTTCTCTACAGAAGTAATGTGCCCACATATATGTACACATATACACACTGAGCTATTGTATACACAGGAAGTAAGGTACAGCATTGGAAGACTCCCTAATGCTTTCCAGCAGGGAGCATAATCATAAAATTCAGCTGTGAATATAGTGCATTTCAGAATCTGAACTCTGTATAATAAACTTAGAGACAGAAGGTGTATTACTGTTTTGGTTAAGCAGTACAGCGAGCTTAAGTGAACACTACTGGTTTCCAAAATCCAGCATGGCATCCATACAGAGAATAAATCACTGTGCTACATAAAAATTCAACGCCTCTAGTTATCTCATCTAATCATACGACAAGTTTTCAAGACTGTATCTAACTTTGCCAAATTTTAATTATTCACATAAACTAAGTGTCTAATGAGTCAATTTCTTCTTCCCCTTCCTCCTCTCCCCTTTGCAAAGATGAAGGGGGAAAAAAACGAAGGAAGTTTAAGTAGAAATCATTCCATCATTCCACAGATAATTTTCCTATATTTCTGTCCTGGTTCCGTGTAAAAAGGGGTTCAGGGCAGGACCCACACGGAACAGAACTATGTACTCGCCTCTCCCCCACCCCCTCGAGAGAGAGAGAGAGAGACACTTTTTAAAAAAAATGAAGTATATTGTTCAACAAGGAACAGAAAACGAAAAAGGGGGGTAAGGAAAATAATATATATAAAGATCAGGGGAATAATACAAAAGATAAAATATACAAAACCCTCAGAAATGGTTCCAGGGTCCCACGGAGTGAAAGGAGAACTTTCCTCTCCGAGCTCCCAGGCAGGAGTGAAACAAAAAACCACTCCCTGCCTCTTATCAGAGTGTGTGTGGGAAGGGGAGGGAATACAATGGTTTCACCCCCACCCGGGGTCCTCCCAGTTGCTGGAAGGTCACGCCCCCATTCCAAGCCTCAAACCACAACAATACAAAAGTGTAGCTAAAACCAAACAAAGAAAATCGTACAAAACTCTTTCACTAGGATGATCCAGGATCTATCTATTTTGAGGAAAGGACATACAGGAAAGTTGCTCTGCCAAATTCTAACAAAAAAAAAAAAAAAAATACAGTTTGCTACCCTTATCAAAATTCAACCCCACTAGACAAGCTGTGACTTTTGCCCTATTCTAATTTGCATATATTCAGCAGAAAGCTGTTAAGCATTGATGGCTTAATTCACTAAAGATCCCATCTACCCTATGCACATTCCACCTCCAATTCCTACTGCTAATCAGATCCTGTGTGTCCTCAGAAGCAGCTAACCTGCTGCCTACAGTGCACAAGGGCTAAACTAGGCTTTCCTGCAACTGCACTTCTGGAAAGCATGCATATAAAGTATGATGTGAAAACCAAACAAGACAGACTGACTCAAAGCCTTCCACTACTGTTTTCCTGGGGTATCTACCTCCCTTATATCCCTTTCCACCATTAAGCCCAGACAGCATAGGAAACAAAGCAACCTGGCCAAACTGCAGGAGGAGGGGAAACTAGGGAATTCATGTAAAGAAAGTCAGGCCTGAGAGGTTGAAGAGAACAGGAAGAGGAGGAGTCAAGTTTACCTACTGAGGGTAACCTGCTGAGGGATTCCTGCTTTCTGTGCTGCATAAGAAGGCGACATTGTATAAGGCAAAGGATCTCAGGAAGAGAAGACAGATTTTGCTCAAAGCAGCTGTCTCCTGTATAAAGCCAGACGTTATTTCTGTGTAGTTACCATGTGATATCATGTGACCTCAAACCATTTTTTTTACTGGTGGTACTAGTAGCATGTTCTTCACTGTTTTGCACACTGTCTGAAATGAGAGAGACTGCTGTAGTTCCAACTGAAGTCTCAGTACTTCAGCAGTCTTCTGCCCTGAACACAGAAAGCACCAAGGATCTGCGTAAGAAGGGTAAGGGGAGTCAAGGGAAAATCAGGCTATGTAGTGTAGGCTTTAAACCTCAGGAACACTTCAGGATACTTCCCTAGGCTGTTGAAAGCAAACCACCAAACTTCTAAAATCCCCCAGGAAAAAAAAAAAAAAGAGTAAGATGATAGCAAAAAACAATAGACAGACAATGTCTCCACAAAGGGGTATCATCTAGAAGCATCCCTTGCTCCTTGAGTACCTGCTCATATTAACCATCAGTGAGAGTTCAGGAGAAAGCAGCAGGCAACATCAGCAAGGCAGTGAATGTGCCCACTTGTTGCCTGAATATTTAGGGAACATAACCAAGAGGCAGCAAACCTAAGATGAATCTGCTTGTCAATCTGTGGGAATTCTAACCCACACCTGAAAGCTCCACCCCTAACACTAGTTTGGTTAGGACTCTCATCTTGTCTTGTTGAAACTTATCTACTATGAATCTTCAACATAAAGGCCATGAAAGGAGGTACATTGGGCTTGTACCAGGTATCATGGTCCTACCTATAAAAATTGTTTACCTAAAGAACAATGTAAAAAACGTGAAGAGTCACTGGAGAACTAAGCTATAAAAACCTACACCTGAGGAAATGTTGTTCTTACCAAGAAGCACTGTATCACTGCTGACTCTTGCACTTCTTTCTACACTGTGCTACAGCTTTAACAGAAAGGCTGGAAACATGGAATTAAGTCTAAAGTGATACATAAGCTGAAGTTTTCTATTTCCTGAGCAAAAATCAGTATCTTGATACCAAAACTTCTCTACCTTGTCCAGACAGATTTTAAAAGAAAAAGAACCAGTTATCAAATTAATCCTAGAAAGCGGTTTTGCCTCTGAATCCCAACCTCACTTACGGATTAACTCATGCCCACAGACAGGCATCAGTCCAGGAGAGACTAGGCAAGACTTCAGACACATGGCTCCTGTTTGCCCATGGCTGGCACAAAGCACCTGTGGTACCTGCCACAGTGGCCATCAAACTGCTTGCTCTCTGTTCACCTGAAGATACATAGGGTTCTAATCAGGTTCACAGATCTCACAATAACCCTCATTTTACAAAAGCCTAACGTTGTCATGCCTAACTCCACGCCTCTTTGCTTAGTACTCCATGTATTCCTTAGGAGAGCAGAATACTCCTATATCACCAGAAAGTGTTATAGCTACCTATCAAACTGTCTAGACTTACCTCTGAAGAGACTGTAGTCTTCGTTCCTCTCTCTTTCTAGCCAGTCGTTCCTCTTCTTCATCTGGCCTGCTAAAAAAAAGGAGGGAAGGAAAGTGTAAGAGGAGTTTGCACTGCCAGGCAATCTCTGTTTAGTCATTTGCCTTATTTTCAAAAAGGATTTATAGTCTAACCCGAGATATATCTTCATACCCATGTAAAATTTCATTGCTAAGTATAATTGACAAATTTGTAGCATTACCCTTTTGCATTTTATAATACCCAAATGTTTCACTCACTGTAGTAACGTGCCCTTCAGACTCCACAGGACAATTTAAAGCCTCTTTGGAACAGGTTGCAGTCTGTTCCAGAAGCAGGACTCCTGTTTGCCTTTTTCCCTAGATCACAGCCCATTTTAGAGTAAGCGTACTGCACATGCACGGTGAAGTCCATTGTTGCCCCCTGGAAGAAGACTGATGGTTCACAAGCCTTTGATGCCAGAACAACTTATCTTCCCAATAACCATCACTGTCCAATCTCAGGCTGCCCCCAGGAAAGCAGTGTGCTCACACTGCCTTGGCAGCTGCCTTCCCTGTTGTGGAAGGAGCAAGGGTTTACCTGAGTGCCTCAGCCGTGTGACCCTGGGACACGCCGAGCCTACAGAGCACACCTGGGACGCTCGCCTGAGCGCACGTGCTTGGGCTCTGTGACCTGCTCTGGGACAGCTCAGCTTCACTTGCCCATTAGATAGACCATAGAAGAACTGGAGAACTCTAAGGCAAGCGTCAAGTAATATTTACTTGTCTGTTATTTTTAAGAAATGAACACCTGAGTACAACACATCTGCAGCAAGCAACATACAAGTTAGACAAGAGTGACATCCAGTGGTTAATTACAGCATGGCTAATGTTTTAGCAGATAACAAAATTCACAGATATTCAAACTAGACACCTGAACTCAATTTTTTCCATCTGCTCAATAAGTCCATACATCTTTTCGAACATCTTACTCATTTCAATACAACCCAGTAATTCAGAATCCATGTAACGTTTCACATACAGATTTTCTAGTTTCTCCTTTTTTGTTTCCCCACAAAGAATTAGAAAAATCTTAGTGGAGTTTAACATCAGAAAACAGATGCAACACATCCCCTTTATTGGAAAACAATGTTAGACCCCTCTATAAAACTAATCAATTCTCCACATTAGCATGTCCAGGAAGACTAAAAGTTCCCATTCTTGAGCACCCTTCTGTAAAATACCTTTATTGGAGATCCCAGTATCTTATAACTATGCAATAGTCTCACTTTACATTGGCTGCATAACATAAAACCATCAAATAAATAAAATGCTGGTATAGGATTCAGAAGATATATTTCTTCCTTATTATTAAGCAAAGAATTAATTATCTTCTGATTTCTAGACACTTTGAAGGAATTGAGTTTTCTTCAAAATTCAGAAAGTCTGAAATTATAAATAAAAAAGTGCTTGTTCAACTGAAGAAGTTCAAGAGAGTCTACTTATTATAGTTTCATGAAGAGTTATCTCTGAATTACATGGAAACAGACTCAAAGTCCAAACACAGGCTAAAAATAATGAACTGAAACTACATACCAATAGTTCTAGGATTTCTGTGGTAGGGAACTCAGGTAGGCCAGCTACATTACTGAGGTGGGGATTAATGCACTTAAATATTCTCTGTGTCCAAGGTAAAGTGTGGGCTTCTTAAACATCAAAACCCCAACAGCTTAAAAAAAATTCCCAAAGGAATACTGACACTTCTGCAAACTAAGGTTACACCTGAGACGATACATCTAAAAAGTAAGTAAAACAGATCTAATACTATATATCTACAAATTTTCCTCCAATTCATTAAAAAAAAAAAAAAAATGAAAACGGAGTCCCCAAAACTGAGGAAGCAGAGAGCA